ATAGCAACAACACATTTAACAACATAGCCGACAAACTAGCCAAAAACCCAAATCAACTACATATACTTACTATTCTTCACAAAAATATATACAATCTTTTATACTACCTCTATTATGACAAATATCCTATAGAGCAACCTGCATGTAAAACAATTAAAAACATTAGCAATGTCTATAATAGCAATATAGTCCTCTTAACACTGAATGGAAAACATTTTACTTTTATCTCCACTAATTAACTGTGAAGTTACTTGGCTCTTTCTTAATAACAATCACAAAAGATCTACATCTTATACTAGCTTCAGTCTATATTATGAAAAAACCTTTAAAGTCAAACTTATGTTAGGAATACTACCTATAGTATCTCATCTTTACTCTCTTTATCCAACTATATACCCAGATAAATATTGCATTTCATGCAATATATATGATAGTCAATTACACTGGCTAACATGTCCAAACTCACATATACTAAATTCTATTATTATTAACACAATATAACAATTCTTTAACAATTTACGACTAGATATAACAACTATACAATTACAAAAACTACATGACAAACTTATTAATCACCTATGTATCTCTTCAAACAAGCTTAGTAGAAATTATACAAATATATATACAACTATACAAGGCTTCATTCCAACTACATTAATCAATACTATACAAAAATATATTACTAGCAACCAGTTAGTAACTGATACTACAATAAAATTCTTAATCCAACTATCTCAAAACATATATAACCAAATATAGAAACTATACTGTATCAAACTATCAGAATGGAAACAGCAAAATAATATCCCAACCAACTACTATGTAATTGACCAACTAACTTTAACACTTCAATCAGACTACTATCACAAACTCGACTATTATATATCTACAGTTGTACTTGCAGACTTCCAGACCAACAGCACACAAGTGACTTCTACAACTCTTATATTTGCCTACTGCAAGAAAAAGCAAATAAAAAACTACTCAAATAAATATCCAAATAAATAAACTATAGTACTTCTACTAATAATATCTTACAATATCAAATCTAGGTAAGTTTTAACTACTCTAGTAGGTTTAGGTTGCAAATAAATTAGATAAAATTAGATAATAATTTTGTTTATAGTCTGAGTTTCATTCTTGTAAAAAATTTGTAAATTGGCTCCAGCCTGTGTTAACTCATATAGTTATCCAAAACAAATTAATAATAAAGATAAAAGCAAAACCTTACCTTAACATCAAAAAAGAAAAAAAAAGTAATGTTGTAAAGCAGAATCTAATGATTTTAATGATAGTTGAAACATTAAAATTGGTCTAGTAAATAATTTTCTATATTGATTTTAAGAAATACAAAATGTTTCTTTTCTTTCATTAATCATTCTTTAAAGTCTCTTTTTATAAAAGCAAAAAAAAAAGACTATCGCTTGATTTATGAATCAGAATAGCATTTTCTTACTAAGATAAACTTAGTAGAAAAGATGTAGAATTCTTTAAAGAAGTTGTCTTTAAATTTCGAATTGATTGCAATAATATTCATTAACTTTTCCTAATCAAACCTATTTTCTAAATTTCTCTTAGATTCATTATTATTTTTCTTTCAGAATTACTAATTTTTCATCAAGCATAGTACTTATTAATCCCACTAGTACCAGGCTAGATTCATGACTTACAGGTACCTCAAATATAGTAATTTAAACTAATTTAAATCAAGAAGACTATAACTAAAAATAAAGAATAAGACTACAAATACTTCTAGACAATTATTCATTCTAGAGTCTTAAAGAAAGATTATTTAATATATGGGGTAAAGTCAATAAAAAAGAGACAAATCAAAAATTTTTTCAAAATTGAGTTTTTATATTCATTATATTAATTAAAATATTTTAAATATTTTTTACTTAATAATGAATATTTGTTTTCATAATATAAAAATTAGTTATAATGCTTTTAAGATTTTTGTCATACAGATTGACCACTAGCATCAGCAGGTCAGATAAATCTAAAAGTAGAATCTACATAAACTTTAGAGCCGTATATTTAGAATTTTGCTGATGTCTGTGAATCAAAAAAATATAAATAGAAAAATGCTTATTATACTGTATATATATACTAATATCATATATAAAATATATATTGTAAATTGCCGTATAAACCATTCTCTTTATAGAAGACTCCTTTCTAGTAGACCTGGGTTTGTTATTTGGATTCAGTGAAAGGTAAAAAGTATAAGATCTGGTACATTCAGCAATTTTAAAATACAGATCTTTATATTTTCATAATAAATTGGCAAATATCAGTACTGTACAACAGCCCTCTGAATCTGAATCAATTTTTATACAGATTTACAGCTGTTTTCATAAATTCTGAAACATCTGGCAAAAAATTGACTAACTGAATATTTGCCAATTTGATAAGTTTTGATTTATCACACCTGAGTCAGAAGTTTATCACTGAGAATCAAAAATTTATCAAACTGGCAGATATTCAATTAGTCAATTTTTTGCCAAATGTCCTAGAATTTATGAAAACAGCTATAAAGTAACAGACCTGAGGTGATTTATGTGACAATTTACAGTATGTACTATACAAAATAATTATTATGGTATAGTTTAAAAATTCTTTATAATAAAAATTACTGGTTTAATAATTATACGATCTCAAATTTAGCATTTATCTGAATTAGCGGCATCCTGTAGCATATGGTATATACAGTCAATGTTTTATATGTCACTTATATTTAAGATTCTTCTAGTATTCTATATAAATGCACTTTTACTTAACATGTATTTATTGAAGGTTGACTGTATTGAATTTAGAAAATCTTCTCTTATTTCAAAATAAGCACAAGTGGACATTATTTTGTGCTTATATGATAGGTTTCACAGTATTATACTGTATCATAAATCTATATAGTTAAGATCTCTATTAACATAAGTCAGAATGAGATTTCAAAGCTAAACATAAGCTGGTTTTGGCTTTTGTTTTTATTATATCCTTGTTTTTGCATTTTTTTATATCTTTTCTTATTGTTTTTAACTTTTTCTTTTTAAACACAGATGGAATAGAAATTGTACTTGCTGATAATACCTAGACAATCTCAAACCTTAAAAAAAAATAATAATATCATTTGTAATTGTTAAATTTGTAGCAAATATATTAGGAATATGATGAACATGTATATGTAGAAAGTTTAGATATGAGGTTTTAAAAAGGCTGCAGTATATGCTAAAAGAATAACATGTGATAGATTGAGAAGTAAAGAATTTCAGAATTTAAACCATTTTTAGATAAATATAAGGTTATCATTAGTTTTGAAAACATCTTGTTTTGAACTTTAATTGATGCACACTTACTCTTTTTGCATAGGTTTTATTATAAAAATACATATAAAAATCAAATATGATTTTATTGTGAATAAAGGTCTACAAAAAAGACAGGGCCTGAAGTGCTCTACCAATTTTTTATAAGTTTATAAAGCATAATACATACTATTAGACTTTTCTAAATGCAGAGACTAGATAATATGTAAAATTGTATAAGCCAAAACCCTGCTCATATCACCAACAGTCATTTCACTGAAAGTTCATTTAGCTTTAGTTGCAGATAAATATTTTTAGCGAATTGTCAATTGGTGTAATGTTGGCTAAATGAGCTATTAGTGAAGTAAGGTGGATATACATTTAAAGAAGTTTAAAGAAGTAAAAATCTACAAGTTGGACCCAAGAAAGACACCAAATTTTGGAAGGTTCTATTTGGTTTCAAGCCAATTTATATTATATATACCATATACTTATATATAAGTTGACATCTGAAAAAGTTATTATATAAGTGCATAATAAGTTAGAGTAATTTTAGATATGTATTAATAATCATATGTAATTCTTAAATTTTTAATAGAATAAAGTAGTAAATAAAAACTATCCATATAAAACTCTCTAATATTACTTCTTATTGTTAATATAATTCTATGTATTATTTTTATAATGAGTGATTTATCCAAATTTTTTTTTTTTTGATAGTGGCTAATAAAAGTAATAAAAACATATTTGATAACATCTTTGCTAAAACCCACAGTGAATTGAAATATTTAAACGATGAAATTTCAAAACTTTAGGATATTTATTTAACTAATGATGACTCAGATAAAGAGTTTGATAATGAATTTATTGATAACGAAACCTATAATGAAACTTCAGAAACATTAGTCATATATATTAATAATTTTTTTACAGCCAAACAAATTGAATGTTTTCATAAAATATATATGCTCTATCCAATGTATGTAATAGCAGAAGATGAAAAAACTCATAATAAGAAGTCAGATAAACAGGATGATGGTGCATTTTTGGAGAAGTTGCAACAATTAGTTTGTTGTATTAAAAGATGTCTTTTAAATATTGATCTCTAGGCAGCACTTAAAAGATTTTAAGAAATGAAAGCATTAATATAAAGTGAATCGAGCTTATGTTTTCTTAAAATAATTGATGCTAGCATGCATATCTCAGAATTCAAAAATGAAATACCAAAAATATATTTGACAATGAACTATAGATTTGAAGGTATCATTATTTGTTAAAGTGCTTGGTACACAATTTATAATATTTAAAAAAGGTAATAGGAGGCTTTATGTACTCACTATCAAAATTTTGGTCTTAAATCAAAAATTCATGACATAACCAGATGTGTTAGTAATCATGCAATTTCCTTTTTAACTACCTTAAATGTATTTAAATTTATTGCAAATTTCATCAATCAACATGGACTCCTATCACCTAGTAAGCAATTAACAATTACATAATGCATAGATCATAGCATCCTACATTACTGCATTAGTGTTAGTACACGGAATAGTAATTTTTAAAGTCATTCTATAGCAATTAGCATTAGGCTGCGAGTTATAATAAATAAATAAATATATATATATATATATAACAATATAAAATATATATATATAAATAACTCTTGCTGTAACTCTTAATATAAGAGAGACCAATCTATAATAAATCTACTTGGTATAAGAGAGTTATTAATAAACTCTTAATATAAGAAAATTTTGTAAATTTTCATTATGGATCTGACCACCTTTTTTATACTATCAAGATTCACTTGTATTTTAAGTACTTTTCAATAGGGTGTATTTTGGTTGTACTATATTACTAAGATAATGAAATTTTTAGGATATAGTTTTTGGGATAATATTCGTGAGATCATTTATTTACCTGCATGTAAAAGCAAGAGATCTTTATACTGAATTTATGATGATATTGAGCATAATGAAATAAATAAGGTTAGTTTATCAAGTTTTGAACATATTTGGAAGAGGTATCTTCCTAGAATTCAATTCATGACATCGCACAGTAACTTATGCAGCTCTGTAAGAAAAAATAATTTGGAGCAAAATATTGGAATAGAGATGAAACATTACAAAAATTAAATGAATAAACTAATCATTATAATTAAGCATGTTTAGAATGTGAAAACTATAGGTAATACAATTTGAATTTAATTAATTTTATACACTAGAGGTTGGATTCATGAATATTCATGATTAAGAGTTTGTAATTGATATAATTAATTCATTTATATTCATGAATATTTGCATGAATATTCATAGTTACAATAATAGATGGATATTTATTCAAAATCTGGATATTCTTTTAATGCTATTTGTAAGCATCAAAACCCACAAATATTTACTAAATAGTCCTAATAGATATTCAAAAGATCTAACCTCTACTATACACTATATATAACCTGCTTTTACTTATAGTCATTTTTCTGATATTACACTAACAATTTACTAAAAATGTATATCTGTTGCTAACTCTAGCTCTATGTGATATCAGCTGAATGAATTTTTAGTAAAATGTAGAGATAATTGGTCTGCAGTCTAAAAATTAATGCAAAACCAAATTTTACAAAAATATAACTTCATTTATTAGATAACTACCAGTTGAAAATGCCAATTTTTTACAAATCTTGTTCAAAGTTAGCTAACAATTACTGTGGGACCGATTAACATCTCTAGTATAGTATATATTTGAAAATTGCTCTGCACACCTATACTATACTGATTTGTAATGAGCAGCACTAATATTATTATAAATTTTAGGAATTGTATTTTTAAAACTAAAATGGCTTTAACTTCTTTAACTAATCTTTCATAATCTGGAATTTTAAATTTAATTAATATTGAAAACCATGTTTTGTGAGATTTCGCAGAGAATGTACACATTCCCTACTCTATACAACAAGAGAGTGCCATTTACTTTAAGTTGCTTTATAAAGCGAAGTATTTGGCATCTGTGAGAAAGCCATACCATGACAAATAATTGAGATAATTTTACAAGTACAGTCAGACTCCTAAATGCAACCTTTCTAAAATATATGGCCTATAAAAACCTTTCTAAATGCATGTCCTTTCTTGGATCCAGCTAATATAATACTTGTAGATTTTTATTCCTTAAATGCAATACCTCTCTAAATGCATGTTTGACTTAATTTTTATGTATAGTCTTATTTAAAGAAGTCTGGCTATATATTATTATTACTTATTGATTATGTACAGAGCATTATAGCATTAAATCAAAATTCATTATATCGAATGGCACATTTAGTGATCCTAACTAGTTAACTAAATATAGTTAATTAGTTAACTAGTTAATAATTGTTGCAGATCATAATAAAATCAAATTAAAATAAAATAAGAATTTCTATTTAACCCTCTAAAACCTACTTATACTTGTTTATTATAAACATTACTCTAAAACTAACCTCTAACTCTAACTCCTAATGCTAAAAAATGCATCTCAAAAATTTTTATTTTTCAGCAACTTGTTATTTTTTTACATTGTATAATATTTTATTTTGATCTGATTTTATTTTAATCTGTTACAATAATTAGCTGATTAACATTTTTATGATTAGGATTGCTAAACACGTTTTGAATGCTATTTAATTTAATAATAATATGATTTTACAGACATGCATGTCTGTTAAATCACATGCTAAACTTTACTAGTATTTGAAGTTCAAGTGTTAATGAAATGGCATACTTTAGTGCCATTCCAGGTTGATTATAAATTGAAATAACCTGAAGCAGGTCTGAAGTAAATTTGGAATAAATTTAATGAAATGGGTTGAGAATTAGATCGATCCAACTCAACTCAATCAACCCAACCCAACCCATTAATAACCTTATTTTATTTATTACAGTTTCATGTAAGTTATATGAAGTAACATTATATTTGAGGTAATAAATAATTCTTAGTAATCAATAAATTTATTAATTTGAAAAGTTTTTATCATATAATTTATGTGATATTAAATGCTCATGCATAGTATATTTCTAATTTGAAGCATATATATTAAGAGTGCTCTCAAGCACCTAATAGATCAGTGCTTAATTTTTTAATTAGTGGAAAATAATTTGGACAGTCAAGTGAGTAGCCTTTGAATATCCATTGTAGTCATTTACTGAAATTCACAGAGTTTAGTCATTCACAAATAATAGTAAATGAATATCTGAATTTTATATGGATATCTGTGAATATTCATTAAATATAATATTATATAAATTTAGCTAATTCTTGATTATTCATGGATTTTGTGTAAATGAATATTCACTTTTAATTAAATATTCATTTTCATCTGTAGATATTCACAGATCCTACCTTTACAAGTAAGCTCATTATCGGAATGAAAAAAAAGATGGTTAAGACTATCTTTTTTTATCAGAGTTGTGTTTATTGTCTAAAATTTAAAATCTGCATTACCTATTGTGAACTTTTAGTAAAATTCTTGTAAGGATTACTTCAATTAATTATAGTGCTTGTACATGATCTCATTTACTAGCTGATCACATTGAGAGAGATGTTTGAGAGTGCCAAAATATTTTAATTTTAATTTAATGCTAAGTTCATATAAAAGTTGATTTAAAAACCTGTATTTAGGATTTGCACTAATTTATTTTTTAGATTAATTACCTTATTCCAGAACACCAAAGTATTGGAAAAGGTCCAAACATAGTAGTATCTCTTGTCTATCATTATTTTGCTAACCATGACCTTGGTGAAAAGCATGTAGTTATTCATGCAGACAATTGTGTGAGTCAAAACAAAAATAATATAATGATCAAGTACCTTTGTTAGAGAATAATAAATAGTTTGCATGACAAAATCACATATAGTTTTATGGTTCCTGGTCATATGAAGTTTGGCCCAGATGGCTTTTTTGGGTTGTTCAAACTAAAACTTAGAAATTCAGAAGCTAATGATTTAAATGATTTAATGCATATTGTTGAACAATCAACGACTAGTAGATATAACAAGGTGAATACTGTTATTGATTTTAATAGAAATAGAAAAATTACATTTTATAATTGGAATCAATTTTTGAATCAGTTTTTTATGCAAGTTCTATCTATTCTAATGCAACATCACTTTATTATATCTTGTGATCATTCTGGAAAAGTAAAAATTTAAAATCATTTGATAGTAATGAAACTGAAATTTCAATTATGCAAGTTTCTTCAATTCTAAAAACTAAAAATAGAGAATTGGTTTTTTCAGATGTAATTATTTTACAAGGAATTAGTTTAAAATGATAGTAGTATTTGCATAAAGAAGTAGCACAACATATTCAAAATTCAGAGAACATGATCTTTATTGTAAAATGCCTAACCAACCCAAGCCAAAAAAAACTAAAACAAATATGGTTTAATAGTAAATTTATTTAGTTTTAAATTTCTTATTATATTTGTGAATAACGTTAAAAAAATTAACATTAATAATGTTATTACTAAAATAGGTTTCAAACAAGTATACTATCAGCATCCCTCCTAGTAGAGTTTAAACCAAAAAAAAAAAAAAAGGTTTTGAATTATGACAAATAGATAAATTATATAACTAGTAAAATGGTAATATTTGTGGACTAGAGCCTCAATTGTCTTAAATTTAAAATAATATTTAAATTTTATAAATTGCTATCATTAATTATAAGGTTATATTTATAATAAATTTAAAGGAATCTTTTGTTATAAACATGCATTTTGCCTTAATCTTTAATCTTAAAAAAAAGTACTATTAAAAAGATCAGTAAAAGTACTCTTGATATATTTACAAATGTAAGGCCAGTTGCAAATTTCTTATTTATTACAGCTTGTGATAAAAAATTGACTGAATGATTATTTGGCCAAAAGTTTTTAATTCAGCAGTGATAAACTTTTGATTTATGATAAAAGTTATTCATGTCAATCAACAAATTTTAACAAAAAACATGAAAAGGGTTCTGAATATAAGATAAGCTTTCATGATTAGGAAGAGGTGCTAATAAAAAAAACTTCAATATGAACAAGAATTTATTAACTAAACTAAAAAAAATAGAACTCAAGATATAACAGTATTGTTA